CTCCCTCTTTCTTTCTCTCTTCTCTCTTCCCTTCCTCCCTCTTCCTGACTCGATCCCTAGATTAAACACTAAAGGCAAAGAGGGGGGGAGGGTCGGAGGGGGGTGAGGTCAAGAGGGAAGAAAGAAAGAGAACGAGAAGGGAAAAGAAGAGGGAGAAGGAAGAGGAGAAGGAGCAGAAGGAGGGAAGGAGAAGGAGGATGGGAAAGCGGGAGGGAGAGAGGGAGGGAGGGAGCTAGGAAGAGAAGATGGAAGGAAATAGGAACAAGAAGTAGAAAAGGAAGAACAAGAAGGAGGAGGAGGAAGAGGAGGAGGGAGAAGGAGAAGGAGAAGGAGAAGGAGAAGGAAGAGGAGGAGGAGGAGGAGGAGGAGGAGGAGGAGGAAGAGGAGGAGGAGGAGGAGGAGGAGGAGGAGGAGGAGGAGGAGGAGGAGGAGGAGGAGGAGAAGGAGAAGGAGAAGGAGAAGGAGAAGGAGGAGGAGGAGAAGGAGAAGGAGGAGGAGGAGGAGGAGGAGGAGGAGGAGGAGGAGGAGGAGGAGGAGGAGGAGGAGGCGGAGAGGAGGGAGGGGTTATTTGAAGGTAAACACCGCTGTCCAAACTCCGCCCGCGTTCCTGATGAGATTTGAGAGAGAGAGGCTCCCCGTGCAAAGAGACCCCCTACCCCTACCTCTACCCTCTCCCCTATCCCTCCCCTTCCCCTCTTCCCCCCCCCCCCCTTCTCTCTCCACTCCACCCCCCAAACCTCCCTCCGCTTCCTCTGCCCTCGTCCCCTCCCTCCCCTCTACCTCCCTCCTTATCCTTCCCTTCCCCTTCCACCTCCCCTTTCCCCTTCCCTCCGCCTCCCCTCCCCACCCTCTCCCCCCAACTCAACCCTAAATCCCCTCTTCACATCGCCTCCATCCCCCTCCCCCCCCCCTTCGCTTCGCCTCGCTTCACTCCGCCGCCGTTTGGTCCCTAAAAACCTTCTCCTTTTGTGGGATCTACGAGGCCCGTGATCGTTGCCGTGATACATACGTCTGTCGCTCGGGGGCTGAGGGGGGCAGGGGGCGAGGGGGGAGGGGGCGAGGGGGAAGGGGGGTGGGGTGATGGGGTGAGGAAGGGGAAGAGGGGAAGAGGGGATGGGGTGAGGAAGGGGAAGAGGGGAGAGGGGGTGGGGTGAGGAGGGGGAAGAGGGGAGAGAGGATGGGGTGAGGAGGGGGAAGAGGGGAGAGGGGATGGGGTGAGGAGGGGGAAGAAGGGAGAGGGGATGGGGTGAGGAGGGGGAAGAAGGGAGAGGATGAGGAAGGGGAGAGGGGATGGGGTGAGGAGGGGGAAGAGGGGATGGGGTGAGGAGGGGGAGAGGGGAAGTGGTAAGGAGGGGGGAAAATGGGGTATGGCCGAGAGGGAGAAGAGGGGAGAAGGGGGGTCTTTATTTCTTGCGGGTAAAGACAGGGAGCCATTTGAAATATAGACGATAAATACGAGCGGTTTTTTTCCACTCGGGCGTTTTAACCTCTCTCTCTCTCCTTCTCTCTCTCTCTCTCTCTTTCCTTCCCCCTACCTCCCACTTATCTCTCCCTTCCTCCCCCTCCCCATCCCCTTTCCCACCACCCTCTTCCCACTGCCTCCCCATATCCCACTCACCCCACCTCCCCCCCTCACCCCCAAATCGTGGCTACCTCGTATAAAACCTCATATAAAACACCAACAGCACAGTACATTGAATTTTTCGCATGCCTTCACGTCCAATGCATTCAATACACATTTCTGCATGGGATTATGATAAAATTTATAGCCTTTAATTAACCAAATGATTAATTCAGAGTGTAAGCAGAAAGGGTTAACAGACTCAGTGTAAAAACGAAAGAGAGAGAGAGAGAGAGAGAGAGAGAGAGAGAGAGAGAGAGAGAGAGAGAGAGAGAGAGAGAGAGAGAGAGAGAGAGAGAGAGAGAGAGAGAGAGAGCACCCAGCTATACTGCAGTTGTAAGCGTATATAATTCATTACATGTGACAATTTACATTACTTCGTGTGAACATTAATTTACCAAGTATTTAATGACTCTTGGAGTAAAAATGTGATGTGTTTAATTATAACTGGAAAAAAAATCACTTTTCCCTAAAGCAAAATGTAATTTCATTCTTGTAGTTTGCTTTCGTGTGTGTGTGTGTGTGTGTGTGTGTGTGTGTGTGTGTGTGTGTGTGTGTGTGTGTGTGTGTGTGTGTGTGTGTGTGTGTGTGTGTGTGTGTGTGTGTGAATGGGTATGTAATTGCGAACGTACGTAATTGTGTACTGCGTGTATGTGTTTATTTTTTACCTATCTCTTTATTTATTGTTTACTTGGTTGTTTGTTCTTGTGTGTATTAGTAACAAGTAATAACAGTAACTATAACACTAATAACAAAAAAAAATAATAGTAATGCTAACAATAAGAATAATACAAAATAACAGTAATAATAACTGTTATTATAGCAATTCTAACCATGATAATAGCAATTCTAACCATGATAATAGCAATAGCGCTAGTA